CTCCCACCCCCCTCCCCTCTAGAACCCTCAGTTTGTTTCTCAGAGTCCACAGTCTCTCATGGTTCGTCTCCCCCTCCGATTTCCCCCCTTGGTGCATTTCTAAAGTGCAATTTGGACTTGACCAAAATAACCAAGTTTAAGTATAGGGTGTGTGGGGGAGAGATTCTTAGTTAATAGAGAATAGTATATTGGAAACATGGTCAAATCATAGAGTCTGTTGTGGAGTGTTTAAAGTAGAGAATATTAGCTTGAACCAGATAAAGGGTGAATAACTTAGTGGTTAGAAACATAGGAGCTAGGAGTCAGCAATGGTTTAAATCTGGCTTTCCCCCCCATTTGCTGTCATGAACTTAATTTTTATTATGGGTTTATTATTTTCTGTTACTGAGACTCTTATTTTGATAACCTATGTATAAATATTTTGAATAAATGAGGAGTTTGGGATGAGGTAAAATTTACTGGAAAACACTACATCTAAAACTAATGATGTAATGTATGGGGATTAACATAAGAATAAAAAAATAATAAAATAAAATAAACCCCCCCAAAAAAAATTTACTGGAAAGGATCCATAGAAGTCACTGATACAGAGTCAGTTGTAGAACAGTAGACAGTTTGGTTTCATTGTGGTAAAAGAAAAACATGCATATACATACATATGCATGAAGAAAGCTCTGAAAAATATTCACCAGAGTTGTTAAAAATGATCTCTGGTTAATGGAGATGTGATACGGAGTTTTGGTTTGGGTTTTTGGTGTTTTTGCTTATCTGTATTTTTCTAATTTTGCATAGTAAACATCTACTGCCTGTGTAATAATAAAAGTTGTTTCTAAGTGCATGAAATAAAAATAAAATAAATAAAGGCCATATCATAGAAAGTGTCACTGTAAGCAGCTTATTTATATTCTTAAAGTGGAACACCACTCACATGGTGATTTTGTTTGGTAGGCGCCACCATGTCAGCATTGATCCTAACAGCTTGCATTATTTGGTGCATCTGCTCAATCAAGTCTAACAGACACAAGGATGGCTTTCATCGGCTCAGGCAGCATCATGATGAGTATGAAGATGAAATTCGCATGATGTCAACAGGCTCCAAGAAGTCCCTCTTAAGCCATGAGTTCCAGGATGAAACAGACACTGAAGAGGAAACGTTATATTCTAGCAAACATTGAAACACAGACTTCGCACATCTCCCAGCATAAGTACCAAGCAAAATTACAGTTCCTTTTGGGAGACACTGCATTAAGAAGAGAGACTCTCTTGCTTCTTCAAAGAGCTTTGGGGAGTTAACTTGCTAAATTTGTATTCTCTGTGAATTTGGCTGGCAGTTTTGAACTTCCCCTCCTTTAAGTACTCTTACCTTAAAAAAAAAAAAGATCTGCTTTCTATTTATGCAGCAGAAATGGGACAGCCACTTTGTTTTTCTTTTTAATTTAAGATGAGCTGTTTGGAGCTTGTGTTATAACTGCATAAAGCCAACTAGTGGATGTTATATTTTGCACATCAGGTGTTTACTAGTGGCTTTAGCTTTTTCTCTTTATTTTAGATGGCCAAAAGAATCCAGAAACATTTAGGCAGGGACAGCAGTCAGAATCTGACATAAAGCTTTAAAAACACAAGGTTTTCTCAACCTACTGAGAAGTACTTTCCTCTAGTTATTAAATAGCTGGAGTTTTCTCTTATCATTCAGGTTTAATGGAGGCTGGATTGATTTTTAAATATATATAATATTAGGAAATGAATAAATGGGCTTCCGCATTTGGCTTTCTACTTGTTCCAAGGTTAGATCAGAACTGGTGGGCTATGCTTTAAGCAGGATTTCACTACCTCTCTTATAAGGTTTAGCAAAGTTCTAAATACCCCCATTTTAAGGGAGAACTTGTTGACTTTGTTGTAAAAGATCTAAATGTCCATTTGAATAGAACTGAGAGGGAGATCTACCAAAAGCTAAAACTTGTGTCGCATATCTTTCAACTTTTAAAAATCCCACAGGTGCTGCTGCTTTTTATCTGTGAAGCACTAGTTTATTCTAGGAATGCCTAATTCTTTCATATTTCCTAAATTTGAACCTTTTTCTGTGTTGTACACTTATGGCTTTCAGATGACCCGGCAATGTACAAGATCTGAATTCTACTGAAAATATCTGGAAGTGTGGAAGAGACCTACTTGCACATTCTTTAACCGACATTTGAACACAAAATATCTACAGTTCATGCTCCAGTTCAAGCCTACGGATATCCTACTGTTACTGAAATAGCTTGGCCAGTCTTATTCATAGAGGCCTCTGCAAGTGATTGGGTTCTTTGTCCTAATGTTTCATTTGACAGTCTCTTTTTGATCAACCAGTTTTGTTAAAAGTTCAGTTGAAAGCATTTAAATATGGCTCCCTCCATTAAAAAAAAAAAAATGTGAACTATGGACTACCGTGTTCTGTAACACTGTGGTGAGAAAGTATCATCTTCACTGCCACTCAGGTTATTGCAAAGACCTGAAAGATTTTCTTTTACTGTGTCTGTCATATCATGCTTTTCAATGGAATTGATGCTTTTTGTAAGTATGAGTCTTACCAATGATCTAATGGTTTAATACCTTTGAATGTTTTTAATGGCCAAGTTGCTGCTGAATTTGTACTAAATCAGGGGATCAAAAAACTTGCTCTCATCTTTTCAAATTGTATTCTATATCCATTAATGTATCAATCATCCCAAAGCCTTCATGTGGAGTGGTTTACCACCCGTGTAGGTCATTCCAAGTTTTTTGAGGAATGCGCCCAAAGTGGCTTTATATAAAGAGATTTGGTTTAGCAGGAATAATGAGATCATGACATTTGTTAGTGAGTATCTGTGATAAATTTGGGTGGTTCAAGGTTAAGCCATTTTGATATTAATCCTATTATTAACAACTCTAAATTTTGAGCCCTTGCCACCCACTCTCACCCCACCACATACACAGCTAATACTTACTGAAATAGACATGATTTAATGTCTTCTAATAATACTTTACATTTTCTTTAAGGGGGTGATGTGGTGGCAATGCTCTTTTTAGCTTTACTTTTAAGAGTGCAAAGTCAAAACCAACAAAGGGCTGAGTGGCTGGCCCTGCTTGGGACATTGCAGCTAGAAATGAAACAAAGTTGACGTGACAGTCTTTACTTTATTAGCATTGGTCTTCACTCACTAGAGGGTGCCTTTTAAATTCATTTCTCTTTTGAATTAACCATGTCTTTAACTGTTCATCACAGTGGCTGGAGTCCATGTCTTTAAGCATGTATACAATTTTTTTTAGAAATGAACATACAGATAGTTCTTTTAGTAATTTTTCCTGAAAGTAAAACCAAATTCTGCTATAAATCTTGAATCTTTAATGAGTTTCTAAATCATGCATTGCTCTGGAAAATAAGACCTTCTCAGCCTGTGTTAGCTATGAACATGAATGTATAGGATCATGACTACTAACATTGTGTTCTCAGCCCTGCTTTGTCTTTTATTTGTGGATCTAATCTTAGACCACATAACCGCTTAAGGCATTGAAGCCATATGGAATGGGGAATGCATTTCTTCAGTGTTTCTCCTAGAGACTTTCCATTTCCTTGGAGTCATGGAGGCAAGTAAGTATCACAGTATTAAGAAATTTGCCCAAATCTGAGTTGTGCCTTTCTTTACTCACAAGGCATGTTTTTTGTCCTGGTGATCAGCTTGTAAGCCTTCTTCCTTCCCAGCTCCTTAATAAAAGCAAAGTGATTGAGTAGGTAATTTTCAAAGTGTCTGCCTGTGTAAATGTACTTGTACTGGTTATGCAGTCCGATAAGATGAACTCAAGTTAATTTCAGATGGAGAGACCTTTTGTTTTTGATGTATTTTGCTGAACACTTGCTTAGTGTTTGGGATCCTGTCCAGTTGAGGAATGCTTGCAATTCTCACTGGAGGGAATTTGCTTGGGGACTTTGTCATCCTCCAGAAAGGAAACATAATGTATATTTGGCCCAGTGTGATTGATTGGTTAATCTTTGGTAATTTTCACCTGGATGGATTTGCTGAATTAACGAATATTGAACTTAAAAATAATTATGATTTGACAAATAAATAAAAGGTAGTCCTTAATGCCTGAGCTTATTGTGTTTCTGAGCTAATACCAGGTTACTCAGTAACCATGACCTGCTCCTCCATTTCCATTTATTCTCAATAGTAAATAGTTTTCTCTTCTTGTTGCCAGAAATGCACTTGTTGCCAGGTTTTGTCCCTGCTGTATTAAAAGCTTCTTGGCTATGAATGCTGTGATGGTGCCCCGCCTATGGTTCTCTGGTAGAATTGTTTTTAAAGATAGCAACTTTATTGTTACTACAAAAAATTCCGCTGTGGTTGATGTTCAGTGACTTTCTACCTAGCAACTTTTTGGTAATTCTTTGAGTTTCTGATTTGTTTTAACTATAGCAGATTCTTTGGGGTAATTAGGGCCTTTGATTAATGTCAACTAAACATGGATTTCCAGTTCATAAAGAAACATCTCCCAACACCCATTTCTCCAATCTTTAGCAATAATTAATATTCCACCTGATTTTCAGAATATTGTCCTAGTTGATTTTGATTAGACAGAACATATTATGAAATTTGAAAATAGGCTATCATTTTAAGGCAATTGGATATAAATTATGTAAATATGTATGATTATGACTTTTATAAATGGCATAACATGAATGTACTAGCTACATTCTATGCTGGCCATGCTGCAGATTTTCTGGAGGTATGACATAATGGTATTTTTTTATGCTCAGAGTAAAAATAAACTTTTCACCTCTCCATCTTTTCAGAGTGACATTCCCAGGCTCCAGAACAATTCTATAGCTATTTATATGAGGTGCCCAACACTCGTTCATCTCAAGTGCTTCAGTCTTTGGTTTATTTCATGCACTGTGCCTTCAAAATGAAATTTTTAAAAGGGACTTTAAATGAAGTTGAATAGTAGTTTTAAAAAGTCAATCTGTGTAATTTATGTGAAATCTAATTGTAATGAGGTCCTTTCTGTTTTTTATATGTAAACAGATCTACTAATCCTGTATAAAAGTTATTTTATGATGTTTGTCTTTCTTTGTGTTTTGTCTCATAATCTTTTTTCAAAAGCAATAGACAAGAAAAAACTATTGTCTTGATTTGAAAGTTATGTATTTCGTTTTCCTACCTATACTAGGGGAAAAATAGTACCAGGCTAGGAATACAGAGTGTCACCTGTAGAGTGTTTCTGTCTTCATGAATTGACTCAAAAGAAAGCTGTTTCTGAAATAATCACATCATATAGTAGCCAGAGTTCTTTCTGTTTGTGGCTCAGCTAGATTGATACATGTCCAATCACTCCACAACAAACACCACAAAACGGGCCATTGAAAAGTTTATGTGCACATTTCAAACTTGTTTGTTAAAAATTTTGTCCTTTTTCCAAATAAGACACATTCTATAATGTGTCCTACGGCGTTAGGCACAGTGGTGATGAATTCACCATCCCCTTTGAGTTTTTGTTGATACCGCTGGGTCCAATAGGAACAGGGAAAGTGAAGTTACGTAAAAAGATGGGCTCTGCTGACAAGGAACTCATAGTCCAGACCAGAGAAATAGAAATGAGAATAAAGCTGTACTTCCATTGTGGTTGGTTCCTCTAAAAAGAACATCTCTGCTGGAGGGGAACTATAACATGGAGATTCGAACACGGACATTGGAGTTGGCCCCATCTGTGATTGATTCTCGGCTCTCCCACTTGCTTCCTATGTGAGCTTGCATTGTATAGGTTTCTTCACGTTCTCTAAGTCTTACTTTCTCTACCAGTTAAGGAATAATACCCAATAGGATTGTATTGATATAATACTTGACTCAGAATTGAATGCCCGTGGTAACCAGGATCATTTTCCTTCATTTGCTGTTTTCTGATCTTTTGAAAGAAGAAAGAAAGGTATTGTACCAAATATATGAACAAACGAAGATCTGTTTACAGGTGGTCATTTTAATTTAGAAGAAATCCCTACACATGAATACTTAAAAAAAAAAAAAAGAGCTATGAAATTTTCCATTATGTAGTCCCATAGATTGTCTATAGCATGGCAGTAAAGTTTTTAGAATTGTGCCAATTCATATTCATATTTGTTTTTAAATGAAATTAGATTGAATTTATGCCTATTCAGTGAAAAGAGCCTTACTTACCTGTGGCAAGAAGTCTGAATAGTAATAATGGTTCTTTCCCCTCAATGTTTGAAATATTTTCCTGAATTTTTGTCAGGAGTTTTCTCATAACTGATCAAGAACCTTTTGGTTTGTATCATAAGTGGTGATCTATCAATTATGTTTCATTTTTCAGGTTTCTAGAAGCTGATTGTTCTCAGCAATTACGCATGATGCTCAGTGCTAACACTACTCAGTTACGAATAAATGCCATTGTGTAAGGGCTTCATCTCTTATTTTTACCTGCAGCTAGAATGCCAACTGGTCGTATGCTGTTTATTCCAGACCTCAGATAAATACCTCAGTTATTACCCACAATTTAAAAGCAATGAAATCAGCATATAAAGCCCAGCTTTATTTTTTTAAGATTGTATTTATTTATTTGACACAGAGAGACAGCGAGAGAGGGAACACAAGCAGGGGGAGTGGGAGAGGGAGAAGCAGGCTTTCCGCTGAGCAGGAAGCCCGATGCAGGGCTCCATCCCAGGACCCCGGGATCATGACCTGAGCCGAAGGCAGACGCTTAACAACTGAGCCACCCAGGCGGCTCCCATCTTTAACTTTAATATCACAATTTCCACCTACATTAATCAGTAGAATGTTAAAAACAAGCATGTTACTTCTGCATTTTGTCTGAAGTCAGATGGAATCCTATTCCCTATTAACTGTATAAACAAATGTAGACAAGGCAAGCAAGAATTGGAGCAGAAAGTTATCCAAGTTTAGAGGCCAGCATGGACAAGATCGAAGACAGAAGGCTGAGAAGATTGAAAGTGTGGTAATTGGAAGGGGGAGTATATTGAGATGGACACCTCAAATTCAGCAAAGACAATTTATGGATTCAATTACAAGCAATATAAAGGAGCTGTGATGCAATCGAAGCTGTAGGTGGAAAATAGTAGCAGTAGAAATTTAAGATGGAACATGTAGAAAGAGATTGTAGATCAAATAGAAATTGTAACATGGATTACATTCTGTGATTGCCATGGAGATTGAGCCAAAGCAAAGGGGTCATGGGGAGAGATCTAGATTGCTAGATCTGAACCACTACTGTTTTTGAGTATTTGAAGTTATTCTAATGTTTATAATTATTATTGTCACTTACTAGGTTTTGTATGATTCCAGTAGAGTTCAAGATCAAACAGGCTTTTGATTTAGCATTTTAAAGATGTGAGGTGCCCATAAGAATTGATCCTACAAATAAGGAATGGCATAGGTGGCAAGTGGGCTGCTTATGATAACGGCTGAATTGGACAATTGGATTTTTTTAGAAAATAATTTTAGAATAGTTTTAGATTGGGGCACCTGGGTGGCTCAGTCGTTAAGCGTCTGCCTTCGGCTCAGGTCATGGTCCCAGGGTCCTGGGATCGAGCCCCGCATCGGGCTCCCTGCTCTGCGGGAAGCCTGCTTCTCCCCCTCCCACTCCCCCTGCTTGTGTTCCCTCTCTCGCTGTGTTTCTCTCTGTCAAATAAATAAATAAAATCTTTTAAAAAAAATAGTTTTAGATTTACAGAAAAGTTGCAAAGATAATATAGAGTTGGCACTGGGTTTTTATTTGGAGGATGTGGGTTTTGGGAGGGCAACAGGGGAAGGATTGTATATATAGTTTTCTATTCAGCAGGACTTGAATGGAACACATTTGAAAGGGACTGGGCACAGCAAATATTGTGTCTAGAATCTAGCCACGCACGCATAGCCTAGGTGATCCAGGTATCAAGCCATGTAGTGATACCTCTAGGTAACTGAGTTAAACTCATTTCTTCTCTAGTGGAAGGTATTTCCATCCTAGATTTGATGGAGACCTCATGATTTTGCAATGACCAAACACAGGCAAAGATAACCAAGCATGTAGAGAAACCACCAATAAGAAAGCAGAAAAAGGCCTATACTGGTTTCAGGTGTTGACATTATCAGACACTGTAAAACAAATATACTTATGTTTTCAAAGAATAAAAGATAAGCCTGAGACTATCACAGGAAACTATAAAATAATAGAACTTCCAGAAATGAAAGTACAGAAGTTAGAATGCACAGTCACAATGGCAGATTGGACACAGAGAAGCAGTGAACCTCAAAACAGACCCAAAGAAACTCTTACGCAGCAGAGACAAAAAGGTAGAAAATAGGAAGGTGAGGGTAAAAGTGTGGACTTAACATAAGACTAATACATGTTTGATCATCAGAGTTATAGAAGAGAAAGAATGGAGCATAAACTATTTTGAGACAATGATGCAGAATTTTCCCAAATTGATAAATGGTATCTATAGATTAAAGAAACTCAATTCTAAGTAAGAAAAAGTAAACACCCACACCTAGACTCAACAGTGAAACTGCTGAGCACCAAAGACAAAGAGAAAAAAAGTAAAGCGGTCAGAAAGAAAATAAATTAACTTCAAAAAGTAGCAGTTAGACTAAAAGATTAGACTCACTCCCAACCATGGAAACCAGAATACAGTAAAAATTATACTTTGAAAGTGCTGGGTAAAACATTAAATAGCTTCCAACATAGAATTCTATATTGAACATACCGTTCAAGAATAAAGGTGAACTTCCAGGTAACTGAAGTCATTGGTGGCAACCTAAGCTACCTGTTTCCCAATATTTCATTGCAAAATAATGCAAAGAACAAGAAGGAAAAAGTAAACCTACACAAAAGCCACACTCTCAGCGTAACTTGAAGTCGGAGAATTTTGAAACGTCAAACTACCTGAATAAAATGAGAAAAATCACCAAATCTTAGCATGTACTCTCATATGCCTGCCCCAGCACCACCCCAGTGCAAGGTTTTGTGGAGCAAAGGCAGAGGGAGATCAACTGCAAGAAAGACAGAAGGAGGATGCCTGTGCAAGGGCATTGCAGAGGTTAGTCCTGTAACTACTGCCAGAAAGACCAAGTCCATCTTCATTCTGAGTCTAAAAACATGTCCAAGTAGGGCGCCTGGGTGGCTCAGTTGGTTAAGCGACTGCCTTCGGCTCAGGTCATGATCCTGGAGTCCTGGGATTGAGTCCCATGTCGGGCTCCCTGCTCGGCGGGGAGTCTGCTTCTCCCTCTCCCGCTCCCCCCTCTTGTGCTCTTTCTCTCTCTCACTCTCTCTCTCAAATAAATAAATAAAATCTTTAAAAAAAAAAATGTCCAAGTAGATCAGAGCACAAACTATAGGCAAGGGGCTTCAAAGTGAGCACAATTCACAGGAGGCAGGCATGATTTGAAGGGACAGCACTGAAACGTAGCTTCTGGTGGAGGAAAAAAGTGAAAAAGGAGAAGAACCCTTTGACAATTAGGTGATGAGAAAGAAAAGCAGCAAAGAGGAAAATTTAAGAGTCTTGCAAGATAAATGAGTATTGCAAAATTGGAGCACTTACAGCCCCTCCCTATCACCAAAACAAACCCACAAAAAACCCACTAAAGTGCCTGAATTTCACTAGCTTGATGGAAGAGACCTCAGACATGAAGCATGAAAATATAAATAACATATGGATATTGACAAGGAACAAGCAAATTTGTCATCACTTGCAGATTTGATTGTGCACGTGAAAAATACAAAATAACCAATAGGTAAATTAGAAATAATAAGATAATTCAGTTCTACTTCCAGCTGTGGGTGAATTGGCTTGAAATAAAACGACCTACCCATCAAGAACAATTAGAAAAGCTGGATTTTTTTTTTTAAAGATTTTATTTATTTATTTGAGACAGAGAGAATGAGAGAGAGCACATGAGAGGGGAGAGGGTCAGAGGCAGAAGCAGGCTCCCCGCCGAGCAGAGAGCCCGATGCGGGACTCGATCCAGGGACTCCGGGATCATGACCTGAGCCGAAGGCAGCCGCTCAACCAACTGAGCCACCCAGGCGCCCAAGAAAAGCTGGATTTAAAAACGAAACAAAACACTTGTTTGAAGGATTGAAGAAGTACTAAGGTACCAAGGACTTATGGGGTCGAGATCCTAGAGCAAAGGGAATTCAGGGGTGAACATGATAGTAAAGTTTCACCTTGAGGCATTTGTTGATTCATAACCGGTGACTGAGAGAGATACCTAGTAGCAGGGAGGTCAGTCAAGAGGCAGAGACCTCAAGCAGAAGCTGTAGGCAGTATCATTGGGTCGGGGAAAATACAAATTTGGCATCTATCAAGGAAGGGGGCACTGTTCAACAGGCTTTCAGTTAGGACACTTGAGTGGCTACATATTAGAAGCAAGGGCTAATCAGAAACAGACAAATTGGTACAAACCCAGAGTCCTACGTGGTCTTAGTCCCACCCCGGACTGAGTAAGCTGATGTGCCACTGCTCAAACTGCCTGCACGAAGCAGCAGTAAACTGTCTCTGGAGGAAGATATCATCTGAAGCCTCAAATGATTACCACAAATTTTAATTTATAATATACAGCATCCAGCTGAAAGTTACTTCATTCTGACAATATCAAAAGATGAAAGATCAAGGAAGAAAAATAGAAACAGTCCCATGGGAGTTACAGACTTTTCATGTATCAATCAGAAATTTTAAAATAATGGCAATGAATAAATTCAAAAAGAAAAGATGAAGAATTTTAGCAAAGAATTAAAATCTATTTAAAAGTAAGTTGAGGCTTTTGATTCCAGACAAAATGGAGTGGATGTATTTCTCTGCTATTCCTCCCAGTAAGCAGAGCAAAAAACCTCATGTATTGTATACAAAACAAATAAGACTCAGGACAGTGGAGAGAAGAATGCAGACCAGTTAGGGACCTCAAGATCCAAGCAATGATATGTGGTGAAGTCCTTGGGTTTTCTTTCTGCCTCATATATCCTACAGTGGGCGTTGCATTATATATCCCATAATGGAGGAGCTGCAATCCAGAGACGCCAAATGTGCACACAAAAAGCCCAGGAGAAAATACTCTGTAGCCAAAGGACACAGAAAGGGGCAGCCTACCAAGATGGACTAGTTTTAGACAATAATTGCACTACTCCAACCAAATGCTACCAAGAAAACTGAGGCCCATCTCTACCCCTTACAGCAATGGCTGAGCTGGAGGCGTAGACTCCACCCTCACCTGGCTGTAAAGAAGCCAGTGTGGTGGGTGGTGTCAAAGGAGGCTCAAGTCAGGGCGCTTGGGAGTCTCAGTTGTCTGAGCATCAGACTCTCGGTTTCCGTTCAGGTCATGATCTCCACGTCTGGAGATGGAGCCCACTTCAGATTCCGCACTCAGCGGGGAGTCTGCTTCCTCTCCTACTTTTCCTTTCTCTCTGCCCCTCACCCCCCCCACACACACTCTGAAATAAATATTTTAAAAAAAAAAGGCCCAAGTAGAGAGCCAGGACCTCCATCACAGCACAGTGGTTATAAGGCCCCCTGTTATAATGTCAGTGGAGGCCATCTGGGGAAGAGTAACAGGGCACCTCCAACATACCACCTGGGTTATCTACAGAGGCCAGGGGAGAACCTGAACTTCTCTACTTCAACCTTGTGGCAACAGGCAGTTCCCCAGCACCCCCACCAGCACAACGTCAGAGGAGTTCTGCTTAAACAGAATATATGAATATCCAGGGTCTTATAATACCTTAAAATATCCAGGACTACAACTTAAAAATCATTCATTATACCAAGGACCTAGGAAATTTCAACTTGAAGGAAAAAAATGTAATTAACAGGTGTCAATATCAAGATGACACAGATGTTGGAATTATCTGACAAGGACATAATAACAATATTTTAATGAGCAATTACAAATAAACTTAGAACAAATGATAAACAAGAGTCTCAGCAAAGAAATAGAAGATATGAGGAACCAAATGGAAATTTTAGATCTGAAAAACAATAATTGAAATAAAAAAACTCAGTGAATGGGCTCAAGAGCAGAATGGAGGGGAGAGAGGAAAGATATGCCTGTCAGTGAACTTGAAGACAGAACATAGAAATTACCCCATCTGAACAACAGAAAACAGACTGAAAAAAATTAGTAGAGCCTCAGGGATATGTAGGCCTCTAGCAAAAGATCTAGCATTTGTGTCATCAGAGTCCCAGAGGGAGAGGAAAAAGAATATGGGGCAGAAAAAAATATTAGAAGAAACAACGGCTGAAAATTCCCCAAATTTGGCAAATGACATAAACCTAAGATTCTAGAAGCTTGAGCAAATCCAAAACAGGATAAAACCAAAGAAATCCACACTAAGACACATCTTAATCAACTTTCTGTAAAGTAAAGAAAAAAGTTTTGAAAGCAGTGAGAGAAGAGATACCTTAGCTATAGTGGAAAAACAATTCAAAGAACAGCCTATTTCTCATCAGAACCCTAGAGGACAGAGGAATTGCACATTTTTTCCGGTGCTGAAGAAAAAAAAAATTGTGAACCTCAGATTCTATATCTGGCAACAATATCTTTCAGGAATGAAGGGGAAATCAAGACGTTACCAAATGAAGGAAAACTAGTAGAATTTGTCTCCAGCTGACCTACTCTTTAAAAAATGGCTAAACGAAGTTCTTGAAACAGAAAGGAAATGATAAACGAAGGAAGCCTGCAACATCAGGAATGAAGAAAGAAAAATGGAAAGAGTAAAATATGGGTAAATACAGTCGGCTTTCCTTCTGCTTTTGAATTCTAGAAATTATCCTTGACAGTCGAAGCAAAAACGATAACATTACCTGGTGTGGTTCTCAATGAATGTAGAGGAAATCTTAAAGACCGTTATAAATGGGAGTGGGTAAAGGGACAGGTATGATTTAAACGCCTTTACAGGAGGTAACTTTTCCACATTTCACTAGAACTGGTAAAATGTGGACACAAACCGACTGTGATAATTTATGTATCTATTTGGGTGGCTTTGGACAGCTGATTCCAACAGGTTGAAAGGGGGCAGGATGAGGTACGTGGAAGCAGTCAGCACACACTTCAGGATGAAAGGTTGGTCTTGGGAAGAAAAGAGCCTGAGGTTGGCTGAAGACACACCTTGAGAAAAGGCGAGGGAAACAGAGACTTGCTTCTGACGATGACTCTCTTCTCAGCCAAGCAGCCAAGAGGAGATTAGCCGAATTGAGGGCGATGATGCGGGTTTGGGGCGCCGAGAGAGGATATGAGCACCAGAAGGACAGACAACTCAGGTAGTGTCTGGAGTTGACTGGTCTTCAGCCCCACTGCTCAAAAGCTGGAAAATGATTAATTGACCGCCAGGTGGCGGTGTCTGTGGAAGCTCACGTATCCCATCGGCCCTGGCGCCGGGGCGGAAGAAGGTGCGGAGGTAATTCTCTGGCTCGCTTCGCCTCTACTCTCCTTTCCCGACTGACGTTGGACAACAAAGATGGCTGCAGGAACCAGCAATTATTGGGAAGGTGAGGGCGAGGCGTCCGTGTTGGTCTCGCCAAGAGGCAGAAGGGCTGGGTGGGGACGGGTCTTGGGGGAGGCGGCAGAGGAAAGAGCCTGGCCTCCGGGGCGGCCGAGCCGACGGGTGGGGCTTGTCTAATGGGAGCCCCGGCCCTGGGGGCTGAAGAGACGGAACGGTCTGGGGCAGGGGGCTGACCCGAGAGGCAGCGAGACCTGAAGCAGGGGTTGGGCGGAGAGAGCGGAGCGGCGATGGAGTGGAAGAGGGTCCTGAGTCACTGGAGGAGAACTGGGTTGAGGGGCTGAGCGAACTTGGACGAAGGGGTTTGGGGCACGAACTCTCGAGAGGAGACGAATTTTGAACGAGAATATCCCGAGCCCAGGAGGCTGGAAGAGTCAGCGTTTTAAGAGTTGAGGTCACTCACTGTTGGACGGTTGAGTAGGATAAGGGAAAGAAGGAACTTGTCAGTCCGGTCCATCGAGGGAAGTTATATGAACGAAATGTCTCCTACTGGGTCCCCCTGGGAGCTTCAGGCTAGGACTTCGAGGATTGGGTGTCGAGTCCCGTTTGAAGGCAGAGGAAATAACTTTACGCTCTGCTGTGGATATGAGTTTTGTTAAAAAGAGAAAGTTGAGAGAACCAGTGTGAATTGTAATGATTGCATTTGCTATACCTCTTCTGCAAAAAAACCCAAAAAACAAGAAACAACAACAACAAAAAACCGTCTTGTGATTTGACAAGTACGTTTATTTAATTACTGAAAATATGGGGGCGCCTGGGTGGCTCAGTCGTTAAGCGTCTGCCTTCGGCTCAGGTCATGATCCCAGGGTCCTGGGATCGAGCCCCACATCGGGCTCCCTGCTCCGCGGGAAGCCTGCTTCTCCCTCTCCCACTCCCCCTGCTTGTGTTCCCTCTCTCGCTGTGTCTCTCTCTGTCAAATAAATAAATAAAATTAAAAAAAATAATAATTACTGAAAATATGTTCCGATAAAGTGGGCTCATGTAAAACTCACTCCTGGACCATGATGACGACCAGGGATCAGAGAAGGCTCATCTTTTTCTTTCAATTGTCTCTTTGCTTTATTACAATAGAAACTACTCTCCGAAGCCACTTGGAAACCACAAGTAACAGTATTGTCACTATCAGCCCCTTGGTCTAAGAGCTTAATTCTAAGTTCATCCATATTTGCTTCTTACACTTTCAGAAGGCCTTTTACTTGATGTTTTGTATTAGGGAAGACAGTAGTTACAGAGAACCATGATTATAGTTTAAAACATACATTTAAATGCCTATTTGAAATGTGTACTAGATAGAAAATATTTTTAAATTATGTACAGGTGACTATTGGTATCTTTAATGCTAGTCGTTAGGCTATAGTTTTTTGAAGCGCCGTGCTATAATAATTATAGCAGCTGATTATTAACAACCTACTCTGTGCTTTAAGCATATGGTTACTAATGCATAGAAAAACCCTGAAGGTAGGGTCTTGGGATCCAGCACTATGTCCCACTCCGAGCTCAGCGGGGAGTCAGCTTGAGGATTTCTGTCCCTCTCCCTCTGCCCCTCCCCCTGCTCATGCTCACACTTGTGCGGGCGCTCTCTCTCTCAAATAAATAAATAAATCTTAAAAAAAAAAGTGGAGGTTAATAGGTTAAGTAGATTTTCAATAAATCTCAGAGTCAGTTCTCGGAATCTCAGAACATTAGGGTGAGCTAAGATTCTGAGACTTAGTCGTCTCTGACAAAATATGCTCCACTATATTATACTGCTTCCTACTTCTGGTTGCTGATAAATATATTGAAATAATGTTTTGTAATCCTTATTCCTGAAAGATGCGATCCTTACAATATTCCTTTCTAAATTTCAGCTCTTTTATTTTGAGGTCCACTTCCCCATGAATGAGAGTACTCATGTCTAGATGTAGGTTTCCCGCCTGGGGCTTCTCTTATACCGATGTTTCTGTTTGCTTCTATTCTTTTAAAACTTAGGCCCTTATTTTGCCATACTTATATTTGACCTTGTTAGTCACATAGTTTATTATTAATTTAAGAGTCTCTAAATTTCTTTCAGTAAACTTACTGAAAGACCAATTTTTAATCCTTTGTTAATGATTATTTTTCTTTAAGCTTCAGTTGCTAAGTCATTCTACTAAGAATTTCATAAGCTTTGGAATATAAAGAGATAGGAAAATCTCTGTCAAAAACAGTGATGGTTTCTTTTTAATGAAGTTAGTTTATAAGTTGATATAATGCTGGTCATAACCCATACTCAGTTTCTTTATGATTTGTAGTCTCTTCTGTTTTCCCCCCAAATTACAGAATTTTAGGCATTGTTACAGAAATAATTTCAGAGATGTTAGAATGTTTGTTGTCTAGCTATCTTTGGAATACAGGTGAAATTTTCCACCTCCCACTGTTTCTCCCCTTCTTGACCCATCTGAAGTTTAAATAAGAGACAGTTTGCTTTTCTGGGTAAGTCTTTGGCTCTCTCCTTTTAACACTTTTCTTTATGAGGAATCTAGATCAATATATGATTATTTTCATAGTTTGTTTTCTTCAGAATAGTTTTGTAATTTTTATGTCTGCTGATGGACTTTTGTGTTTAATTATTTACTTCTGAAATTTTGTTAAAGATCTCAGGAAACAAGCTCGACAGCTGGAAAATGAACTTGACCTGAAACTAGTTTCCTTCAGTAAACTATGTACAAGTTACAGTCATAGCAGTGCCCGAGATGGAAGACGCGACAGGTATAGGTACTACCAGATTCTGTCTCTTATGCCTTAAACCATAGAATGTTTTAAAAGCATTAAAAAATAAACTAAAATATATAACTCTGTAACTTGACCAATTGGTGAATTTTTGGTATTTTATTTTTTTGTTACTGTTTATTTTAGTGATTTATAAAAATTCTTCTTAATTCTTGAGACTAGCATTCATTTGGGATCCTTAGGCAAAGGTTGTGATGGTGTTAGGAGAAAAATGCTAAGGCTTAAGAATGAGTTTCTCATTCTTTTTCTAGTTCAGCCAGTGTATGGTATATGGTTGATTTGCCCACATTGTATTTCTTATATCTCCTGGTTGCTAACTGGATCTGAGAAATTACCCAAATGTAAAGTATACATACTGCTATTCTGGTGTTTTAGAATGAATCTAATGCAGTGTGCATCCTCACTATTAATCATCCAAGCTATTTTTAATTTTGGTTCTTTTTTGAGAAACCGGAATACTACTGTATTGAACATATGGAAAATGTAATCTTATCTTTGAAACTTAGGCTCACTTTAGGCCATCTACTTGTTTAAAAAAAAATTAGGAAATATATAGGACACTTAGAGAGGTATAAAGAATAATGGATCCTTATGTGCCTCTCTCCCTCTTTAAGAAATAATCATTATCAGTTCGGTTGATATCACTTATCAGTATCCCATTTTCTGCTTCCCCATAATCTCCTTTTTTTTTTTTAAGAAAGATTTTATTTATTTATTTGACAGAGAGAAAGACAGTGAGAGAGGGAACACAAGCAGGGGGAGTGGGAGAGGGAGAAGCAGGCTTCCCGCAGAGCAGGGAGCCCGATGTGGGGCTCGATCCCAGGACCCTGGGATCATGACCTGAGCCGAAGGCAGATGCTTAATGACTGAGCCATCCAGGCGCCCCCCCATCTTCTTATGTTTTTACTACATATGTTTGGTTCCTAAACAATTTATGGTATCTTACTATAGTCATTTTGCAACTTGGTTTTGTTTAACATTATCTTTGTGATTAAGCTTTGGATACATTTAACTGTGGTATATTCATTTGCTACATATAGTATCATACTGTGATTGTGTAGTTGTGTATTGTAATCTGTAGATGGACATTGTTTCTAATTTTTGCTAATAATAGTAATAATTTTAATAGCTGACAGTGTTCATCATGTATCAGGTACTGGTTTGTTTTTGTTTTTTAAGATTTTATTTATTTAAAAAAAAGATTTTATTTATTCATTTGACAGAGATATAGCAAGAGAGGGAACACAAGCAGGGCGAGTGGGAGAGGGAGAAGCAGGCTTCCCACGGACGGAGCAGGGAGCCTGATGTGGGGCTTGATCCCAGGACACTGGGATCATGACCTGAGCCGAAGGCAGACGCTTAACAACTGAGCCACCCAGGTGCTTCCCCCCCTTTTTTTTTAAGATTTTATCAGTTACTGTTTTAAGCGTTTTATATGAAGACTGCTAGGAACATTTTTACCTATAAAAATATTGTATATCTAGCAGTGGAATTGCTGGTTGCAGAGCCGTTAGTTGTTACCCTTTTTTTTAATTTAACATACTTTTTTGAAGATTGGCAGTGGGTGGGATTTTTTTTCAGCTAATAATAATAGAACAATAAAAATTGAGCATGGGTTTGAACCCAGGTCTTTCTGTCTCCAGAACCTGTACTCTAAACATGTCTATGAACATTCCAACAAAAGACTCATTTGAACACCATAGCCAAAGTATTGATTCTTTTTAATAAGGGCACACGGGAAGCCTGCTTCTCCCTCCCCCACTTCCCCTGCTTGTGTTCCTTCTCTCGCTGTGTCTCTCTCTGTCAAATAAATAAACAAAATTAAAACTTGAGTAACAGCTTAACAGTTACAGTTTAAGAATATAAATAACATTTATAAACAAAATTAAAAAAAAAAAAAAAAGAATTTTAAAGAATTAAAGATAGCGAGGCCAACATATTGACTGTAGGACCTAAAAATAAGCCATTGACATGTCACATAGCTTTGACTGCAGTACAGTGTTTTGGACTTACCTTTATTTAGCAAGTAAAGAAAATGAGGAAGGTTCTTTTGTATGTGTAAACTTAATTTTATCACTAGAAAGCATTTTTCCGAAATTTAAGTCTTCCACTTGACTATGCCAGTGAGTGTGCAATTTTAAAACTCTGAATTGTCAGGAGACACAATTACATGATGCTTTTTCTATATTATCTGTGCTTCATGAACTTAATACTTTTACAACTCCTTTAAAGGGAAAACTATCTTGAAGACATTTCCTAAGAAATTCTACAGCAAATTGGGACTGACTTTGTAGATTCCTACGGCCCAACTCTCCCTTCAGTAAGAAGCCTAAGGCCGTGAGGATCAAGATCCAATGTTTATTTTAAAGTGTTTTGTTATTGCCCAAATTGCCCAGATTGTCATAATGAATAATCTTAGTGATGACCAGAATTTTTCATCTAGGAGTAACTTTTTTTTTACTTTCTGTATTTTGAGAACTTTATGGTCTATGAATCATCACATACCTATAAAATGAATTCAATTTAACTGAATCGTAGTATTACAGAGAAGAAGTTTTTGACCATTTCCCTGGACTCGTATACTCTGAGAATGGTGAATATAGAGATTGTTTCCTCATTCATTCAGGTATTTAATGAGTATCTACCATGTGCCAGGCACTATTCTAGGTGCTTGCCATATGTCTGTGAACAGGCAGTTTACCTCTTCATGGAGCTCACATTCGTTGGCCCATTGTTCTTTTTCATATATCTGGTAGGGGAGGATCTGTATTAGTAGTATTTAGAGCATTTTTGCCTGGGCACATTCTAAGAGATAACCACAGAACTTTGGGTTGGCTTTGAAATATAAAGAACTCGATATTTTGGATATATTTTAAGGCAAGTAAATTGAAATATTTTAAGAAATACAAATTTGGACCTAATTAAACATCTTAAAGTAAAAATCCTTTTTATTAGCTACTTTTTGGTTATTTCGTTGCCCATTACTATTGCTGTGGAATTGTATGTGGAGAAGGGAAATAGTAGCTAAAGTGTTTTTTTGATGTTAAACTGATGATTTAATCAGTTTTCATTCACCACACCCAAGCACTGTCACTGAGCAGGACAAAGTCTTCAGTAAGATTGAAGACCATTGTCATTGCCTGTCTACTTATCTGTGTTCAGTATAACTGAGATCTCTATTGAGCTGCTCACATGATAATGCATACCATTTGGGGACCAAATGAAGGTTAGTGGTTCTTCAGAAGAGGCAGGACAAATTTCCTGGACATCTGGTTTTGGAATTTGAATCTGTCAAACATAAGTTTCACTTGTAAAAAGTTAGATTTTTGACTGACTATTCAGGTTAGAAGACAGTTGACATTTTTGTAAAAAAAACCCTGAAACAATTGCATAATACAAGTGGAAATGTAGAGAGTTGGTACTGAAACTTCCCTGCTGGACATGGCTATCTATATTAGACTTAAAGCCAGTTCCTGATTACTTAATAACTAGGTATCCAATCTGTGGATTATGTAAATCTCAATTTTATTTCTTTTTGGTTAAGAGTCGAGGAAAGAAGAGAGAACTTAATTTGAGGAACCATTATTGCTTTGGAGTAAAAATTTAAAAGATTGTTCCTCACAGATCCCATAACATAATCCATAATACCTTTTATGCCTCCTTTTATTTGTAGTACTACTTAGTTCTACACTTTTGTTTCACATACTTTTAGATTCAGCATTTAATTGGGCACTGCCATTGCTTAAGTTACTTTCATTTGGGAAATAATAAACAAGTATTTGGAATTTCTTTACATTATTAAGGTTAGATGTATGTGTTAAAGTTCAGGAAAATCTTATAATTATATTTTATACTGGAGGTACTTGGGTGGCTCAGTCAGTTAAGCATCCGACTCTTGATTTCAGCTCAGGTCATGATCTCAGAGTCATGAGATCGAGCCCTGCATCAGGCTCTGTACTGGGCGTAGAGCCTGCTTAAGATTCTCCCTCCCTGGGGCGCCTGGGTGGCTCAGTTGGTTGGGCGACTGCCTTCGGCTCAGGTCATGATCCTGGAGTCCCTGGATCGAGTCCCGCATCGGGCTCC